AAAATTTAAAGCGTAAAAATTTAAATAATTTAAATATTTCAAAAATTATTTTAACAAAAAAATTAAATAATTTAAATATTCAAAAAATTTAAATAATTTAAAATGTTATATTTTAAATTTAAAAACAACTCTACACTCAAATCGTAACTAACACATAAACAAAACTTAATTTAAAAAATTATTTTTTAAAACTCATAACCAAACACATAATTTGAAACTCTATACTACTTTATAACTCTACACTCAAATCATAACCAAATACCTAACAAAAAAAAAAAATATTTAAAAATATTTTTATAAAATAGAGTTTGAATTTTTTTATAAAAATTTTTAAAATTTAAAAATTCAAATTGCAATTATTTGAAATTAAAATATTTAAAAATATTAAAAACGTTTTCCTTTTTGCGTTTGACATGACTTGGCTGGTTGAGTATACTTTGGTGCAGCTGAGTAGGACACGTGGACGGTAGTGGCTATTGGTTAACATTTCCAACATGGGGCATTTTGGTAATTAACGCTTTGTTGTATGTGAGCTACAATTCAAATGGAGGCTGATTCATATTTTGTCACCTTGTGGCTAATTTAGCCAATTTTTGTCGTGTTTGGCTAAATTAGCCCACAACCAGCTTCCCAAACGTACTCTAATACAAGTGTTAGTTAGCTTATCAACTAAACTAAGGTCCCTTTTGAAAAGGGGGTTATAATTCACTTTTAATATTATAACTTACTTCTTTGACTTACAAAAATTATTTATAAGTAGCTTATAAATAATTTTTAACTAAAAAACTGATTATAATTATTTCTCAAAATAGTCCCTAAGTAGTAAAATGTCCAATTACACCTTGCCATGTAGCCAATTAGAGAATTTTTTTGATAAGAGTTTCCACTTATCTTCAGTTTGGAGAATATTTGGCTTAATGAGCTCATCATTGAACCAACTAAGATATGGTTTTGGAAGTGAGTTTAGTTTTTTGATTTTTTGATTTTCTTGACTATTTTAGTGTGGTTAAAAGCTTGATTTCTGAAAGAACTTTTTGGTTTTTTTTAATTTTTTTAACTTTTTGTGAGAGAAAGAAATGTGATGATTATGAGTTGAATGTAATATCTGTTCTTATTGGGTTAAAAATTTATTTTATTTTTTTATGCTATTTTTAACAAAAAAAACCTGACTTTTTTCTTCCAACCATGCCTAATCTAATCCATATACTATTAAATATAATGCATAAAAATATTCTAACACACAAAAAATCAAATTAATTCCTAATAAATTATAATCAAATATTTTATTATATTTATTTTGAAAAAAATTAAAAATATATATTTTTAATTCATAACTCATATTAATTATTTTAAAAATAAATACTAATAAAATAATGTTAATTATAATATGCAAATAACTGCTCTTTCTGTTTTAAAAATATATATTTCTTTTATCCAATTTTTTTTAAATTTTTTTAAATTAAAACAGCTAATGAATCTTGTAAGTGCTGACAAAATTAAAAATTATGATCCACAAATACTTATTTTAAGTGTTTGTTTTCTATGTTGTACAAACAATTTGAAAAGGAAGAAGTAAGTTTTTTTTTTTTACAAATAACTTAAAGCCGTGATTCTAAAACAATTTCAAATCAGTCCTCTGTCTCAGATTGGCAGTTTAAGAATATTAAACTTCCTAAAAGATGAAAAAGTTTGTTATATCGATAGATTTTGTTTGACATATCATTTTTTATTTAAAAATTAAAAAATTATTAAAAAAAAATAAAAAATTAATAATTTATATTAAAAAGTTAGAAATTTTATTTCCTCTATATCATTTATATATTTTTTTGAAAAAATTAAAAAATCGTTCCAAATATATTAATTTTTTTATATCATATTAATTAAAAAATAAAAATTACTAAAAAAATATTTCCAAATGAGGCTTCTAGGATGGTTTTATTCTTGATCAATTATAATTTTATTAATTTTTTTAATTATTCAAAACCTAAAATTATCAATCTACATTCTCAATTAATTATAAGCAAATGATTCATTACTCTAAAAAAAAAGCTCTAATTTGTCTTTTCTTCCTCTTTTTTTATCTTCTACTACACTGTTGTTTTTTTTTTTTTTTTTTTTTAATTCAAAAACTCATTAGAGCTGTATGGCTGGTGCTCTAATTAGAGCCTCCAGCAGCTCTGTTAATTATAACTCCCTGAGACAAGACATCCGTGCCAGCACTACCAAATAACTTGCCTCCAACAATGATTCAATTCCCACTAAAAACTTCACCACTAATAGCACTAATACATTAAAAAAGTAAAAAAAAAAAAAAAAAAATACAACTCCAAGACCAAAACATCACATCATTACTGGCGGGACCCACTGCCACCTAATTAGTGGGAGCACTAATTAGTGCTCCCAAGCATTTTTCATAACTTGTCCAATGGCCTTATCGTGACGTTGACGACTCTGATTGGTCACGCCTTCATGTTTTTGTCGTTTTCTCTTCCTTTATTTATTTATTTATTTACTATTTTATTTTAGGATCCGACTTGTCTCAGGTTGAGATCAAGACTCGACCTGACAAGTCCAGTCTATGAGTCGATTTTTCCCGTTTTGATAATTTACACTATTCAATGTATAAAACTCATTAAGTATTATATCTTTGTAAAAAATCACGTTAATCGAATATCGATATCTATTTGATTGGATTAGAATTTTGTCAACCGTTTATTTTTTAATCATTGAACGGTTCTACATATTGAACGGGTCTGTCATAATTCTGTCAACCAATCAACGTGATTTTTTTATAAGAATATAGTATTCGACGAGTTCTACATATTAAACGGTTCGGATTATCAAAACGGTACCAAAAAATAGGCCCATAGGTCGGCCTAGACGGATCCAATTTTAATCTTAACATGAGACAAGCTGAACCCTTTATTTTATTTTTATTAATTTCGTTTGTTTCCGAGCCGTATGCATATGCGGTAATTTGAGAAGCTAGTAAAAAGTTAATTTTTAGCTTTTAACTTATTTTGAGTCACTTCACAATAAATTCTATTTCCACACATCTATTTACCTCAGTGCACATCATTTCTCAGTGCACACACTTAATAATTTAATTATTAATTTTTGTTATCATTCTACACACTAATTATTTCAATCATACCCTAAACTCATATCTTGTATACACACCTCATCAACTCCTTTTCCATACACTCAACACTCTTCCAAAGCCCCTTTCAAACTTCCATTACCACTGCCACCTCTGCCGTGTGTTTGGTTGCGAATCCTTCTTAGCTCCACCACCACCTCCCTCGCATTAGGCCTATTATCCTTATTCGCCGCGTGTGTGGATGGTTGATCGATGAGAAAATAAGGATTTCGTTACAGAAGGACTTGGAGGAGAAAGCTCTAACTCCGATGGAGCCAGCGACAGTGGGGTGGTGGTTGTGGAGGTGTTTCATGGCGACGATTCGGTTATCGTAGAGCTGATCTAGATAGAGTGACCTGAACCTGCCATCCCTAATTTTGCATTTCAAGTCGAACCGATTTGTAAAGGACTCGAGCTCTTCATAGGTGAATATCGGAGGAAAGGGACTGGCGCTATGGTGGCAGCGAAGGTAAAGAATTGTCGGGTCTTCTTCCTTCACTGCCAGAGTGACTTTTTTTCTTAATCAAACAATTATTGAAGCAATTGATAAAATAGCTAACAAACACATAAATACAAAAATTGAACACAACATTGCTATTTGATTTGGGCCGTGTTGACAAATCAATAGATGAGAGATTTGATTGTGAGATCGAAAACATACGAATCGCTTTTTGGGGTTGGAGGAATTGAAGCTGTAGACTCCATTGTTGGCTTGGCAAGCCAGCAAACATCTTTATTCTTCTTGTTCTTCTCTCAAGAATCACTTTTTTCTGATTTATTTTCACTAATTGTTGAGTTTTAGTTGATGGGTTTGCATCATTATTTTGCATGACATCTAACTTCTTGTATCATGGGTTCTTTTGCTTCTAACTCTGCAATGGCTTGTTGTGTTGTTTTTGGATTCAATTGGTTTTACATTCTTGTTTCAATTTCAAACCAGATTCAAAAAAATGTGTCCCTTTTGTTGTTCTGTTTCAATTTTCTTTCACACTTGCATGATTTTAGTTCATAATCCTTAGCTCTGCAATTTGATAAATAAGACGAGTACGTAGAATATTTTGATATATTATTATGGGTGTTGGTAGATATCTATTATGGTCATTTTAATTTAAGGTATAATTGACATTAAAATAATATTCATTAAGTGTGTGTACTGAGGTAACTAAGTGTGTGGAAATAAAATTTTTCGTTACATTACCTCTCACAATTTTTACAAATACAATGACCAAAAAGTCAAAAAAATAAAAATAAAAAATAATAATAATAATATTTTTTAACCAACTTCTCAAATTATCCCCAAGTAGCGTACATGGAGACGCCAAAGTCACACATCTTTTTTGGAATGTGTCGTATGCAATGTCAGATTATGTATTTTTGTAGTATATATTATATATTTTCATAATAAATATTATATGTATATTCATAAAATTATGATAATGTATAATTTAAAAATAAGTTTATATATTTTATGATAATATTATGTATTTTGATAATAATGTTATATATTTTTTAGTTGAAAAATATTTAAATAAAAAAATATGTAATATTACTAGCAAAATATAATATGTAATATTACTAGCAAAATATATTATATTATCAAAAAAATATATAACTTTATTTATGAACTATAAATTTTATAATTTCACCAAAAATATATGTATTATAAAAATAAATATATAACAAAATGGATATACTACGCACCAAAATGTGTAGCATATAATTTCCCCCAGGTCATAGGGTCCGATCCACTTTTGTATCACCCTAACAGAAACTGTTGCAACTGTCTAAGTTTGATCTTTCGTTCCGATCCAATCTCCGCCGTCCATTCTCTGCCGTTTTTATTATAGAGTCCAGCATTCGGATTCTATTCTCTGATATCTCGCGCACACAGACCCCCACCACACACCACGTCCATCTCTCTCTCTCTGGCTGTGGCCGTCCTGTTTCTCTCTATCTCTCTCTTCGCTTTTGGAAGACGAACAAGATGATGCGTTTGGCGAAGATAAAGATTCGATGCTTTGTCAGTCTCCTATTGGTCGATCTATTGTTTTCTCGCAGATTTTAATGTCACACGTCGCGCCACGGCCGATCCGATCTGATTCGGTTCTGTTTCGCGCCGGAGATTTCGGAAGATTTCCGAAACTATTTTGTCCGCTGCTTGATTCTGCTAAAGCTTCGATTTCTCGAGAATTCACCAAGGTTCGACTCGAATTCAATCGTTTTAGCATCGTTATTTCTTAATTTAATTAATTTTTTTTTTTTTTTTTCAGTAGATCTTTGAAGTTTGAAGTTTGTGAAATTTTTGAGTCTGTTGAAAAGCTGTGATAATGGAAGATGGAAAAGTGAACAAGGTGAGTGGTGGAATGCCAGACACTGTGTTTGAGTGTGTGATCAGTTACATTGACGACGCACGTGACCGCGACGCAGTGTCTCTGGTGTGTCGGCGATGGTACGAGATCGACAAGACGACGCGAAAGCACGTTACGATCGCTCTATGTTATACCACGACGCCGCAGATGCTGTGGCGGAGGTTTCAGCACCTGGAGTCGCTGAAATTGAAGGGGAAGCCGAGAGCGGCGATGTTTAATCTGATTCCGGAGGATTGGGGAGGGTATGTGACTCCCTGGGTGGAAGAGATTTCGAGGTCGTTTAGTTGCTTGAAGGCTCTTCACTTTCGCCGGATGATTGTGATGGACTCGGATCTTGAGCTCCTTGCTCATTCTCGTGGTCGAGCTTTACAATCGCTCAAGCTTGACAGATGCTCTGGATTTTCCACTGATGGTCTTCTTCATGTCGGCCGATTTTGCAGGTTTGTGATTATTGCTTTTCGCTGATTCTACTTCAATTCTTTTCTTCTTTGTTAAAATGTGAATTTGAACTAATTTGGAACTGTTTTTGTTGGTTTCATTAATTTTAGAATTTTACTCTGTATAGTATAGATAACTAGAGTTCACGTGCAAGAAATCTTCACGATTGAAAACTGCACTAGAAGAAAATTTAAAATCTTACACTTTTAGATTAAATCTTATACTCTCAACTATAAGGATCTGCTGAGCTTTTTAACTGCAATGATTTTCTCTGTAATATATTACATCAGCGTTTTCTATCTTCTTCCAAGAAGGAATGAATGACCTAAGTTAAGTAAGTGGTCATGAGATGAAATGATTGTCAGTTGCCTCAAAATTCGATGATTCTTTCCAAACCTTATTGAATCGAATTATTGATTATTCCAAGTTGCCATGTGAAGATCATCTAGATGAATGGTTATAAATGACAAAACGTTTTCCATTTTTTTAAGGGAAGCATTTTTACTGAAAGAAATGGAACCAATCTTTCGAACTGTAATGTGGTGGTTTGTCTTGTTTTTCTGTTCTAAAATTGCTCTTGGATTTATTCCTCTTGAAGTTACGTATACTCCTAATGGTTTTCATTGTCATGGCATGACTTAATATTCATTCCTGTTCGTTATGCCTCCACTTGGAGTCATTTGATCTGATAGGATACTGACTTTTGGGGTGTTATTCGTATATGGATGATGAGCTTGTTTGCTTGATATAACTGCTGTTCATTTCTCTAGATCTATGAAGTATGGGTACTTCAAAAAATATGCAGTTCTTGTATCGCGTATTTATCGGTGTATGGTACTTCTGCATATGTATCGGGTACACGAAACACGTACCCACATTTTTCTCTTAATTTTTGACGTATTCAAACGTAGCTAGTATATATCCAAATCGTACTGTACCTAAGCTGAAATAATATTTTTTTCTACTATAGAGATAAACCTCCTTTTATTAGATTTCTTTTTTATTTTTAGTTTTATAGTTAACATGATTTTAAAATTAAAATATAGTTTGTATGTTATTTAATATATTGACATTTACTTGTGATTTATACCTTTATTTTTGGCATTAAATGTTAATTATAGGTTGGATCTTAACAAATTAAACTACTTAATTAATTTTTGCAGTACTCCAAATTAAAAATAAATATTTTTTTACAAGCATACCAAGCCGTACCCGTACTCTATTTTTTTTAGATTTTCTCGTATCAACGTACCCGTATCGTACCAATACTTGTACCCGTGCTTCGTAGCTCTAGATATAATGTTTTCTAACATGGACTATCAGTATGCCACTTTAGTTTCTTAATTCTGCATGGGGAATTTCATGATTTTGGAAATAATTGACTTTGAATTGTTTTTAGAACCTATTGCACCCTCTATTTGGGCTAGCTTCCTTTGTAAGGAGATTTTCAGTGGTTCTTTGTGACCAAACTGATGGCTTTTTGCTATCTCTATTATCAATCTTGTTGGAATATCTATGTAACGGATAGTTCATTGTTTTGGAAAAAAATTTGATGTTGAGAGAGGCCGTGTTACTTTTCTCCCTTTTCCCCTCTTATAGCATATTTTTTTCATGGAGTTCGTGTAGGCAGTTTCTGTTGACCTTTGCGTTAGGCAATTTTATATTTTTTCTCTATTTTAAACAAGAAGAAAAAATTATGTTTGGTACTCATTTAAATTATTTTTTTTGGTTTTTGGTTTACTGTGTTTTTTGAAACTAAAAAAAATAAAAATAAGAAGTTTGGAAACACCAATAATTTTCTTATTGGTTTCATTTTTGTGAGAGAACAATTTTAGAAAACTCAGAAAACAACCAAAGTGTTTTCTAAAAATTGGGGTGCTTTCAGAAAAACTTTTTTAAAAACAATTTTCAGAAGCAACTTGTCAAAGAAGTTTTCTATATCGATTTTCATTTTTTGTTTTCGACAACAGAATAGTTTTCAATAATGAAACTAAGCAAAAATTTTCATTAACTCAGACCCTTCATTGAGCCAAAGGGGGACTGTATAACGTTGTATATATTGATTATTATTTTTTTTTGATCAGCGGCATTGTATATATTGATCATAACTAAATAATGAATAGAAAGCAGATATACTTAAATACTATGCAATGTGAGAATGAATCATTTAGGGTGTTAAAAGGAAAATTTTAGTTCTCTCTCTCTTTTCTTTAAACAACTAAGTCACTACTTAAACCATGCTCAAGATTAAAGTACACAACACAGTAAACAAGTTGTACTTCAAAACTCTTGGTTGATGTTACCAGATATAGAAAACATTTTAGGCTGTGTTTGATTGAGAGATTGGAGGAGGGATTTGGAAAGAGAAAGGGAAATGGTGTGTAAAATTAGGTGAAATGTAAGTATATTTTATTTACATTTCACTTATCTTTTCCTTTTCTTTTTCCTTTTCCCTTTTCAAATCTCCTAACCAAAGAGTAACCACATCAATCCACAATTCCTTTCCAATGATCTAATGTCCACAATTCTTTTCCAATGATCTAATGTCCAGCAGAAATCATGTAAAAATGAATTCATCATGTGGAAACTAGAAAAAAAAATTAAAAGAGAAAGAGAGGAAGAGATTTTAAGCACGATCAGGAAGAGAGTTTATGGTGAGGTGGCTTTAAATTATGTTCTTGGTAGGTTGTTGTTCAAACAGAGGTTTTAGATGAAAATTAAAACTTAAAAGCGTTTTTTGGGGGCAAAGTGGGCTTGGTGGTTCTAAAACCTGTGAACTCAAGCTTTTGGTTTGCCAAGCACTTTAACTGTGTGGCGTTGTCTGCCTTTTTGAGACATTGATTAATAGAACCTTTACAGAAATAATTAAATTTTGCATGTTGATGTTTTTGCATATCAGTGTGTGAATATGTTTGTACTTGTATATGAATATTTATAATTGTATCTATGTATTGAATTTGGGCTTTTATATGTCATGTATGAATATGTTGCACCTTGGCACCTTGGTGCTTTTTTTTTGGTCTAGCAAGTTTATATCATCCTTGGGGACTGTCATTATGAATTGAGTGAAGGAAAACTATAGAGTTGTTGATTTTATAGATTATGTTATTTGCAAGGAAAATGTAACTTTACTGTACGGCGATGGGATTAGAGGATGTGAAATGGTTATACAAGTGACTAAGTTACTAAATTTTGAAGTTTTTTAGTATTTTGAATATCATTATTTGGTAGACTTATCTTCTTATTTCATGTGAAATTTTGACATAATATTCCATCAATACCTATCATAGCTAGGTAAATAGATCCAGCCTATCGATCCACACAGTTATAGGATTTTGGTCGGATGGAGAAATGATTTGGTGTTGAACTAGCCACCTATTCTGGATAGAAGTTATTTTTTTCTTCCTTTCTCTGTGAATATGAAGTATTTTGCAGATCCTAAAAAGAAGGGTGCCAGTAACCCTGGTCTTACTGCTTAACGATCTTACAGAATTCATCCAGTTAGCAAGTAGGTTCATGTAAATCCTAATGAATATATAGTGTACATGTTGATATTTGATTACTTACTTTCTTTATAAAGAATAAATGTGATTTTGAACCTGTCCTTTTTTGTTGGAGTAGATGGAACATTAAACACAAGACTCCAAGTTTTATGTGTTAAATTGAACCATATTTGGCAGATCTCATGCCTAAAGGTTGCCTGGATATGAATCCTGCAAATAATTTGATTTCAGTTCCTCTAGTTTTCTTTATATCGTGAGATCTCAGGAATCATAATGTCTTGTAATGTTTTGAGAAGAAACATTATCTGAGCAGAAACTGCGAAAGGGAATTGCAGATTAAAAGTACTCAAAACCCATAGCGTTTAGCAATAATTTACATTTTCAAAGGTACATATGACTGCAGATTTGAGTTTGTGCAAATGATGCAAAGAATAGGTCCATATTTAGTCTCTGTGCTTTCAAAAAATTAGGGATCTTGAAATTAATAGGAAGCATTGATAAAAGTATTTGAAACTTCCTGCTACACCAATATGAAATTTTAAATTAAGTGATTGTCTGGGTCTTCCAAAAGCTAAAGAAGTATTAGTGAAGATGAAACCTAGGAATCTTCTGACTAATTGCTGTGCCAATAGGAGTTTGGAGGTGTATGGGAGATTTCGCACTGTCCTGATTTGTTGATGAAATTTATAGACGATGAACAAAGTGCGTGATCAGTGCAGGAAGAGCATGGGGATTTCTACATGAAGAATAATGTAGATATCCAAACTGTACTGATCATTGGGGCATTGAATTCATGAAAGAAAAGCTTTTGACAAATGGCGGTGGCAGTGTTCTTATTTGGATGATGTAACACATGGTCTTTACATAACTGGTAAAAGTATAATACATGGTTACCTGGGAAGAGATATTATGGGCTTTACAAGGGAAGAAGGTGTCATAACTATATTAGCAGTTGACAGTATCAAGGCGAGCATTGTGAAACTCAACTGCATGAAATCAATTGACAGAGCACAAATGTGTTTACAATCCTTAATCATGTGAATCATTCTCTTCCATTTTCTTCTCTCTTTTGTGTCACATGTGATCATCTAATTATGCATTTATAGGATGGAGTCAAAAAAGCCTTGGCAGATACCATAATGTAATTAAGATTCTATGGTCGATATTAGGTAGTAGCAGTAGTTGGTGAAGAAAGCTTAGTTTTGGTTGATCCCAAGTGGCTGGAGTATAAAGCTCGACTGCTCTCTCTCTCTCTCTCTCTCAACTTTTTAGTTTATTTGAAAGAACCTTATTAAAATTGAAGCAGAATAAAACAAGGATGGGCAAGGTTACCTCCTGATGGATGTAAATAAGAGGTGAAACTGAAGAAGAAAGGCTAGCTAATTGCACAAGTATGACATGCCATAGGGAAGTCTTTACATATGTAACCCCCTCTGAATTTTAAATTTCAAGAGCATCAGCTTGACCATTCCCTGCCTGATGCACACTGCAAAAATGTATCCAGGTCTCCCTAGGGAACTTCAAATACGCAATAGAGGTGAAGTCATTACAAAATTACCAGTTGTGATGCTTCAGGACCTTAAACATACTTTAATCATTATTTATTCATGGCCGACTTTGTTTTACTTGGTGTTTGTACTTGCATGAAACTGAAATTGAAGTTGCACAGAGCAAACTCTTCTTTTGCCTTTTACTGAAATAAAATTGAAGTGGCAGTGAGAGCTGGTACTGGTTTAAATAATTCCTTAGTTAAGATTTCCAAGCAAGAGAAAAACCGGAATTTGATACTCTTCTCCAAAAAGTTTGAGTAGTTGAGTATGTTTCGTTTGTTTTTGCCGTCCAATTTTCTCTGTCCTGGCCATTCAACGTTGATATTCCTACAAAACTGATGTTTTTTTGTCAATATTTTGTATAGATTTCCTGCTCTGTTCTCCCACAGAAAATAAAGCCCTGGCATGAACAAACTAGCCATAAGGGCTCATGTAGATGACCACATCAATTTATATAGGCTTTTGTTGATTTAAGTTGCAATGTTAGTGATTTTGTGGTCTCCGCCAATGTTTTAAAAACCGGACCGGTGAACGAACTGGAAAAGGGATTGGATGGACGGGTCACCGGTTGGTTGAACCGGAATCGAACCGTGATGTCATAAATATATTAAAATTATATTTAAATAAAAATATAAGTAATAAAATTATAAATTAAAAAAAAATGAAAATATTAATAACATATTTTAAAATATTATCTTAAATATTTCTCCTAATATATTTTTTTTTACTAAAAAATATAATAACATATTTTAAAATATTATTCACCTTGCTTGTTTTCACTTTTCAAAAAACACTTTTTAAAAAATTCTACTTTCTTATTTTTCGTATTTTTTTGTTTTTATTGAATTTTTTTAATATTTTAAGCAATTTTTTTACTTTTTAGACACACCTAACATAAATACACCTAAAAAGTAAAAAAAATTGTAAAAAAAATCTTTTAAAAATTCACTAAATACCAAAAATACAAAAAAAAATACAAGAATTCATGAATTTTTTTAATATTTTAAGCAATTTTTTTACTTTTTAGACACACCTAACATAAATACACCTAAAAAGTAAAAAAATTATTAAAAAAATATTTTAAAAATTCATGAAATACCAAAAATATAAAAAAAATACAAGAATTCAGTACATTTTTTGTATTTTTATGTATTTATTAATTTTTTAAAATATTTTTTCACAATTTTTTTATTTTTTAGATACATCTAAGTAAGGTGCATCTAAAAAAGTAAAAAAAATGTTTAAAATTTTAAAAATATTCACTAAAACCAAAAATATACGAAAATAAAAAAAGTCAGTTTTCAAAAAACTTAATCCAGAAAATTTAAACCAAACACACTGATTAATTTTAATTTTGGAATAGGAAACCAAATATTCAATATTCTTTCCATATGATTTTAATTCAAATAATTTGATTGAAAGAAGAGCAAAAATTTTGGAGGGATGTCAAAATTTCAAGTCTCCCTCCAATAAATTTGATTGAATCCCATATGGATTTCTTAAGTTTTTTTGAAAGAATTTTTTTCTTATCAATAGGTAAAGACTTTCACAATAATTTCAAGTTCTCAATGGGATTCCTCACAAAAGGAGACCTTTGAAAGAGAGTTTTTAATTAAAATTTTCTTATATATATAATATATATAATAAGAAAGAAAGAGAAAGAAAAGAAGGAAAGAATAATAAAAAAAAAGTTAGAAAATATCAAAAAAAGTTCAAAATTTTTAATTTTATCAGCTAGGCCGGTTCACCTGACCCGTACTCGGGTTGATCGGTTCGGCGGTCCAACCGCCAGTTTTTCCGATTCTCTCTAAATAGGTTGGTTTTTGAATTGGAACAGTTTAGAGGGTATATCCGGACTGGAATCCCAACTGGTCGACAATTCAACTGGTCAAACTGGCTGGTCCGGTTTTTAAAACCTTGGTCTCCACCATACCAATTGTATGTTGGTGAATGTCTATTGTTCTACGCATTGGGGTCACGTGTTTCCTAAACAATTTACATGAACCAGCAATTTAATATTAAAAAGTTTGATTCACATGATGTTCTACAGGAATAGTTGATAAGTTTGCTGCTTAAAGGGCGTATAATTTAGTTGTTTATGCTTTTCATTTTGCATTTGTGCATTCTGTGGTAGAACTCTAGGTTAAGTTACTTTGTTAGATGAGTAGTTTTTCAATTGTATTTAAACCAAACATGCCTTTTTTTTTTTCTTGGCTTCTTTAATAATGTTATATATATAGATAAGGTTACTGCTTTTTAATTTGTTCAAAAAGAAAGAAAGAAAGAAATGGTTGCTGCAGTTTGCAGTATTAGAGATCTAATTGATGTTGTTGACTACGTCAAGGTAAAACATTGATTTCTGTTTTCTTACTTCTTCCTGTTCATCCTCAGGAGTTTGAAAACCTTGTTTCTGGAAGAGAGCACAATCAAAGAGAAAGATGGAGAATGGCTTCATGAGCTTGCTTTGAACAACACTGTTCTTGAAAGTTTGAACTTATACATGACAGAGCTTCTCAAAATCAGATTCCAAGACCTTGAACTCATAGCCAGAAATTGTCGCTCTCTTGTCTCGGTGAAAATTAGTGAGTGTGAATTACTGGATCTTATTGGTTTCTTTAGTGCTGCAGCTGCATTAGAAGAGTTTTGTGGGGGTTCTTTTGGTGAGCAACCAGAAAAGTACTCGTCTGTATCATTTCCCCAAAGATTGCGCTCCTTGGGTCTAACATACATGGGCCGGAACGAAATGCCCATTGTATTTCCATTTGCTTCCCTACTGAGAAGACTCGATCTCCTCTATGCACTTCTCGACATGGAGGACCATTGTCTCTTGATTCAAAGGTGCCCTAACTTGGAAGTTCTTGAGGTAGAATCTCAAAACCAATTCTTCATATATACTGATTGTAAAGACATCTTAGTTATTACATCTTCCATTAGGCCTTTGCCCCCTGTATGTAAAATTGATTGAATGCTTTGTTTTATCCCTGTTTGTAAAGGACTAATAAACAGTTTTTTTTGCCAAATAGGCCAAAAGCAAATAAACCTGTTTGAGATGGCTTCACCATTAAAAAAGCAGCTTTTTTGTTTTGTTTTGTTTTGTTTTGTTTTTCCTTCTCTTATTAGCAAATTTGTGAGAGGATGATTTTACCCTTAATACAGAAATTTCACCATGTCTCCTACAAGGGCTCCATAATACTAGAAGGGTATTATGGTTAATTTCTGACCCAAAAGTAAGTCGGAAAAGACTAAAAAAATTAACTTTTTTTAGCAATTCTCAAATGCAATCAGCGTTTTAAATTCTAAAAAAAGCAAAAAAACTACTAAAAAAGCAATTGGCAAACCCCACCTTATTTTCTTTTCTTATGAACAGGCAAGAAATGTTATTGGAGACAGAGGATTGGAAGTTCTTGCTCGGTGTTGCAAAAAATTAAGGAGGCTTCGGATTGAGCGAGGTGCTGACGAACAGGGGATGGAGGATGAAGAAGGATTAGTTTCACACCGAGGATTAATTGCTTTGGCGCAAGGCTGCCTGGAACTAGAATACGTAGCCGTATACGTCTCTGATATTACAAATGCATCACTGGAATGTATCGGCGCACATTTGAAAAACCTCTTCGACTTCCGTCTGGTCTTACTCGATCGTGAAGAAACAGTCACAGATTTACCTCTCGACAATGGAGTCCGAGCCCTATTACAAGGTTGCTCTAAGCTAAGAAGGTTTGCTCTGTATGTTCGGCAGGGGGGTCTAACTGATGTGGGACTCGGTTATATCGGGCAGTACAGCCCAAACGTGAGATGGATGCTTCTGGGCTCTGTCGGGGATTCTGATGCAGGGCTTCTCGAGTTCTCTAGGGGCTGTCCTAAACTACAAAAGCTCGAAATGAGGGCATGTGTTTTCAGTGAAGATGCTCTGGCTAGGGTTGTGTTGCGGCTACCTTCTCTTAGGTACTTATGGGTGCAAGGGTACCGAGCATCAGCAGCCGGTCACGATCTCTTAGCCATGGCTCGGCCCTTTTGGAATATTGAGTTAATCCCAGCAAGACGAATGGTTGTTGCCAATCCGGTCGGGGAAGCAGTTCTCGATGAGCATCCCGCCCATATACTTGCATACTACTCCCTTGCTGGACAAAGAACTGATTTTCCCAATACCGTCAGACCTTTGGAAGCAGCCGCTGCCCTTGATAACGAGTAGATCTGTATATAAATCTGTCTCTAATGTTGCACGGTCTCTGTTAGATGTCATGTTTATAGATTCTCTCCTGTAGCTTTTCTTTTCGGTAAGAGGGTATTTTTTTTTTCTTTCTTTTCCACTTCATCTAAAGTTGTAGTTTTGATCTGTGTCTCTGAACTTTGACCTGTAATAAGCATGCTTTGTTCTGTTACTTTAAAGCACTCGCTTGCGACTTGGTTGTGCTGCCCTTTCAATTGTGCTTGGGACAATTAATTACTTCTAAGTTTTAAAATCATTGGTAAACTTGTATGAACTTCTCTGTGATTCAGAATTGTTTGTTAATTTATGTTGTGGATGGGATGAATTTTTAGGATGTGTAAAAAGTGTAAAATATGAATGAAGAATCAGATAATTTTGCTGATATACGATTGTAATAGCTGATTCTGGAGCTTCTATCTACAAATTATGTTTGTGCCTGTGACTACCATTTTATTTATGCTCTTGCACTATTTTAAACTTGAGCATCAGACGTTGAGCGAGAACTTGATTGTTCACCTGATCACTTGAAACAAATTCATATATCACTTGAAAAAGGAGATTACAACTCCGTTTGTTTTGACAGATTCTTGGGTAAAATGTCGTTAGGAGATAACATTTTTGTGCGCTTCAGTGTAACCATGAAAATGATGGTTTTGTGGTGTGGGTGGTGGTGTTGGTGGAGGCTGTTGCCATCCATGACAATGGTGGTGGTGGTGGTTTTGAACATGGTGGTTGCGGTTGTGGTGGTGGCAATTGGTGGGGTTGCCAGAGGCGGGGATAATGGTGGCAATTGAGAGGGTGATAGATGTGGCAAGACTTTCGTTTGTTTCGTAAGATTTAAATTAAGAAGTATAGACATTTTTAAGAAGTTGTATGTAGTATTGACACTCATCGAATACTTTTACAAGTCAATTTTTTTTCTTTCTTTTTTGTTTCCTCAAATTTTAAAGAGGAAACAAAGAAGCTTTTGATCCGTATTTGTTTTCTTAATCATCTCTTTAAGGTTTGATCAAAATTGGAATAAAATAGTGTGACCATGGTGCTTTCTTATGTGACTTGGAAAGAGGCTGCTCTTATGAAAGAATGACAGAAAGTAGGTATGTTTGTCATTTACCAGAAAAATGTAAATAAGGATAATCACATATAGATATATATACATATATATATATATTGCTCAAATTGCTTTGAAGCTTCTTAGTGCTTAGTGTGTGGTTTTTGGAGGATGATACCTGCAATGTGACATAAGGGTGGGCACTAAGGCTTTTAACAAAATTCAGTGGCCCGAAATTCAGTGGCTCGAATGGCTCGAAACTGTCAAAACGACGTCGTTTTGGGCGGAAAACGTCGTTTTGATAGTTTCGAGCCATTTGAGCTACTGATTTTGTGATTCTCAAACATTTTTCTTTAAACAAATAGTTGTAGCAGCAAATATAGTTAAAAGGGAACACACACACAGTACTTAAAAGCATATTGATAGACATGATTTATTTGGTTCATTTCTCATTTGTGGAGATGATGCAATGATCTACCCAATCCTATAAACCTAGGTATGCTATAGGAATTTTGAAATCAACAGTGTTTAAAAACGCATGTTTATAATTTTACGTATTGTCTTATCTTTATGTGTTTAACACTGTTTTTTCTTTATAGAATTTCTGGTCATCTGATTTATATAAATTAGATGAACAGTAGTGATCACCTCACGATCATGATAATTTCAATTTTCCATCTTGTTTAGTTCAATTGACTTCTTTTCTACCAATGCTTTCTTTTTCTTTGTTTAGCACTATGACTAGCATGGTTTTCACTACCAATTAGGTGGAGTTTGACAATTACTTTTTTTAGTTTTTTTTTTTTTTTAGAATCTAAAAAGGTTGATAGGTTTGTTAATTCCTAAAAAAGTAAGTTTTTTTATATATAAAAAAAAAAAATAGCGAAAACAAACATTTTTTTAAACTTTTGAAGGCCTCGTTTGGTGTGTGATAGTTTTAGTTTAAAAGTTAAAAAGTTATTAAAAAAATTAAAAAATTTAGAACTTATATTAAAAAGTTAAAGATTCTCTTTTCGTAAAAAAATCAAAATATCACTCTAAATATATTAAATTTTTTACCTCATATTTTAATTAAAAAATTAAAAAAATTACTAAAATAGTATATTTTCAAACAAGACATAATCGAGAAGTGAGCTTTTAAATTTATGGCAAGCTGAAAGTAACAGTAAAAACACACATAAAATATCAAGAAAGGTTATTATTACTACTTTTTTCGCCGACAACTTTATCTTTTGAGCCACATCATGACAATGAAGTTTCAAATTTTAAAGTATAATTTCCTCTTCTTTTTTTTTTTAATTTTTATTTATTTATTTATTTATTTATTTCAAATCTTCTTTTCCTTTGTTTATGTGTGACTTTAACATAGGGCTGAGTAAGAAATTCGTAAAATTCGTAATCCGATCCAGTTCAGTTTAATCTAATAGGTTTGGATTGGTTTTTTGAATCCGTGATTCGGTTTCAGATTGAAGAATTAAAAATCCGTAGTCCACGGATTGGTTCCGGATTGAACCTCATGGTTCCGGATTGGAACCGATCCGGACCGTATACAAATAGTCTATATTTTTATTATACATCCTCCTCCATAATATCTTCTCTTATTCCATATAAAACCTAAACTCAAACCTAAACCCGCATAATATCTTCTTTTACTACTTTTGTTTGTTAGTTTTTAGTTTTAATTTGTATTGGTCTAAATACTTATGGTGAAACCAGTTTTCTCATGGTTGTTTAAATTCTAGAACAGTATGTCGCTATTATAGAAAGATATGTTACTATTGTAGAACTAATATAGCACTATATTTATGTTCTTATGAAATTAAAGTGTTATGTATATTTTTTTGTTATTTAATTATGTGAATCCGTGGTCCTAAACCGATCAAATCCGTGTTTAAATGGATTGGTTCGGATTGGTTCCATGATTTAAACGAATTGGATTGGTTCTAATTTTTCAAGAACCATAAATAATGAATTGATCATAATTTTTTCCCAATCTAATCCAATCCAGACCATACTCACCCCTAATTTAGCAAGTAAGTTAAAAGTTGCTTTCTTTCTTTCTTCTTTTAAATTTGGTAGCTAATAACCTTTAAAGCAACCGTCATCACATAATCAAGCATTGGCACAGTCTTTCTTTGCTTTTTCCTAAATTTTCTCAGCAACCAATCGCATAGCATAATGAAGAAGATAATAATCACAGGGATAGAATTACTTTTATAGCCCCACCACAAGAAAATCAGGAATTAGCGGCGTTTTTAAGATGCTGCAAAAGGCTAGAAACACGTTGCAAAAAAATAAGGCGAATTGTAAAAAATTCGTCATTGATACGGCCACCGTCATATCTTTGTAACGTTTAAAAATGTCACTAAAAAGTTTAAACGACGTTTTTAAAGCGCCACTAATTCTTAATCTTTGTTGACTATTTCCGTCAGAGAAGTTAACTATGACGTAATCATGACGACATTTCGTGATGTTTTAATGAAAAAAAAAATCATAATTAATTAATGATTTAACTAAGAAAGCAAATAAAACTGGCGTGCAAGCCAGGGACTGCCTTGCTTCTGATGGATGATGCATGTCCGGGTTGTCTTGCGCGGAAATCCACCGGAATGCCCCAATTAGCCTCTGTTTACACCCGTTC